TAGGGTAGCTGGGTGATCCTGGAGCCAGAATTGAGGTGAATTTTACCTTTCACAGAACACCCTTTTGTAAGTTTTTAATTCTGCAACGTATTATGAATTTTAAAATAAAAATTTTAAATGCTTCTGGAGACAGGGGTGTTCTGTTTTCTCTAACTTATTTGAAAATACTTTAAAAATAGAGGGTCAACTATATGGTGATAGAAGATTATTTGACTTTGGGTGGAGGGCACACAATGCAATATACCGATCATGTATCATAGAAATGTCCAGCTGAAACCTATATAATCTCATTAACCAATATCACCCCCACCAATTTAATAAAAAATATTTCTCTATTGAAAAAAAAATAACATAAAGTGAAAAGTAAAAATGCTGGCAATGGCAGAAGCTGCCGGATACTCACTTTGTCTGTGCTCGGTATACTTTTACAACGTGTTCATAGTGAACAGTCGCATAAAATTCACAACAGAGAAAAATCTTGCACTGCCAAGAACAAGTGATAATAAATGGATTACACTTGTTGAAGAATTTATTAGGTAGAAACAAAGAAATACAGAAAAAATATAAATTAACTAGAACGTTACACAAACACACACACACACACACACACACACTGATTATACCACAGAGCTGACAGGGAGAGAGTGGGAGGGAGGGAGTACAGTGAAGTTAAAAATCCATGACTCTAGCTTTTTGTTAAAGACACAGAAGAAATAACCAAAACTGGGAAAAATATGAATGTTAATTGAAACAAGAGAAATTAATAGAGATGATAAAAAAAAATACGACTGTATAAATTCATGCTACCACGTTTGAAAATCTGCTTGGGCTGTGATTTTCTAGGAGAAAAAATGTTAAATATTAAACCAAAAAGGCAATAACCATAGAAAAAAGTGAGAGAATTTTCTAGAGAGCCTCAGTTCTATGCCAAATCACACCAAACAGAGGGGACTTCGGATGATCTAACAGATGTGTTTGCTTAGCAGTGATATTAACGCTGACAATTTTTCAACCCAACATAAAGCCGAGAGTGAGAACATTTTTCAAAATCATTTTCATACAACCAAAATGTGGGCATAAAATCATGACAATAAGAAAAAGAAAACTGCCCTAGCTGGTTTGACTTAGCCGTTAGAGCGCTAGCCCATGGACCAAAGGGTCCCAGGTTCAATTCCAGCCAAGTACACGTACCTCAGTTGTGGTTCATCCCCAGCCCCGGTTGGGATCATGTGGATGGCAACCTATCAATGTTTGTTTCTCTTTCTCTCTCTCTCTCTTCCCCCCCCTCCCTCCTTCACTATCTGAGGATAAATGTAAAAATACCCTTAGGTGAGGATAGAAAAAAAAAAGGAAAAGAAAATTAGAGTCAATTTCATGTAACAGTATACTTTCAAAAATTCCAAATCAAACTAAGACACTCATGATTCAGTGGTTAATTTAATGAGTAAAACCCTTTTTTTAATCCAGACAGGTTTGTTCATTCAAAGAACAAGCCCTGGCCAGTGTGGTTCAGTGGTTGGAGCATCAGCCCTCAGACCGAAGGATCACAGGTTCAATTCCTGGTCAAGGGCATGTATCTGGGCTGTAGGTTTGATCCCTGACCCTGCTTAGAGTTGTGCGGGAGGCAAACAGTCACTCCCACATTGATGTTTCTCTCCCTCTCTCCCTCCCTACTTCCCTACCAATCTATCTAGAAATCAATGGAAGGGTATATGCAGGTGGGGATTAACAAACAAAAGAACAAAAGGAAATTTCAATAGAAAGTGAATTATTTCACAATCATAAAAGTTTAAAGAATATAGTCATTTATGCAAAAATCATTTGATTAGATGGACCACCTGATTTTGAAGAAAATTTCTTAGAAATATGTAAAAGGTCAGAGATTGTCCTAATATGATACACAAAAATATGTCAAATTCGAGACTAGCATCTTACATTGATGATTGCAACCACCTACAAATAACTTACCTACTGACCCTGAGGCAGACACCATCCCAGCCCAGTCCTATAAACAAAATAGAACTGTAAACCAATACATTCAGTTTACTCATCTAAGAAAATGTCACTGGTAACCTTTAATCACTCAGGCAAACAGCTCGTTTATCAGACAGAAATGTGATTGTCCAGACTCACATTGAGTCCTCACTTTCATCTTACCAACCTTCAACCACGGCATGAGGACTCTGCCTGACATAACCAGCCCCACACTTTGAAAAGCCCGCATTAAATCCCATTAGCTCAGACCCCAAAGCCACCATTCCCTGCCTTTGAAGCCACTGTCACCTCGTCCACGTCATGTTTCCCCTTGCTGAGTGGGTCTCGTCAACCCCACTTCGCTTCGAGCTCCAGCAACAGTGTGCTGGTCACATCCAAGAACCATTCATTAAAACTGGAATAAAGTCAAGGGTGTGTGATATTTCCACATTGCTTGGTCCTCTGGAGGTAACAGTAAGTGCCCTTTATCAACATCACTAAAAACCCAGGACATTTGGAGCAGAGAATCAAAACCACCAGGTATTTGCAAAGGAATTAGTATGTACGTTGAAAATAAAAATCTGAAAAGTCACACCAAAGAGGAAGGTGATCAATTAACCCCCCACCGCCCTGCCCAAAACAAAACTTTCGGATACAAAAAAATATCAAGTAACACGATCAACTAAAGAAAATACCTCCCCCACCACAAAGTGAGAATACTAACCGTAATTAAAATGACTGAATAAAAGAGAAAAACGTACCTGGTCCTTGGACGGGAAGACTTATATGATTAAAAACCAATTCTCTCATATATTAATTTATTAAAGCTGATGAAATTGCAGTCTAAACTGTAATTTCTTCCAACAAGAAGACATATGAGACAGGAGGCAGAAGAAGACACACACGGATCACAGAACAAACACGGGGCCAGTCACGGATGACGACACAGCAGAGTGCATGATGGCATTACAGATAAATGGGCAATTATCAGCAAATAATCGCAAGTGATGGCAAGTAACTTGGCAACTGTGAGATTTCAAATAAAAATAATTTCTCATGATTTAAGAATTTGAATTAAAAAAACACAAAATAATTAGAAGTTAACATAGGTGAAGATTTTTATGGAATCAATATCAATCTCATTCCCAAATGACATGAAACTCAGAAGCCATAGAAGCGAACACGGTTGCACCTGGACATATAACATCATACACATCTTGTAACAAAAATGAGGCTTAGAAGTGTGAAAAAATATCTGTAATGCTTGACATTCGAAAGCTTCTTGTCCCGATAACAAATGAGCTCTTCAAAATAAGAAACAGACGAAAGCCTCCGACCCCTCCCAAAATTAGACATAAAGAGGAAATTAAAAAAATACAGATGGTTAATAAACATATGAAAAAATGATTAAACTCAAAAACAAAGGAAATACAATTGAAGACAATAGTTTGGGCTATCATATCGGCAAACCCTGTCAATAGCTCTAGCTCCAGGACCTGGGAGGCGGTGGAAAGGTGGCACCTTACTGTTGCCCTTGGTGGATGATACTGTTACCACATCGTAAGGGACTCTTGTATGATAACGTTTCCAAATTTTAAATGTGCATGTACTTAATCCCAGTATTTCAGCCGCTAAGTAATCTGTGATATACTAGACAAATGAACAATTAGTGAGCTAGAGGGAGGGTCACTGCACAGAAATTGGTGTTAACACGTGTCTATGAATGAGAAATGCTTAAAATGATTATAAAACAGTGATGCAGTTATTCAAAAAATGACACAGATGTGTGTTATTGAAATAGAAAAAAGGGCATTAAAGACTGTTCAATGAAAGGCAGGGTATAGAAGAAAGTGTACAATATGCCCCACTTCCGAACCCACCCCCAAATAGGATGTGCTTGTGTGTGTGTGTGCATCTAACCACTTAAAAATGCACACAACTCCCTTAATGGAGTTAGAATTAGGAGAGAGGAAGGCACTTAATTTGTATATTAAATATTTAGACGAGATTTAAATTTTTGGGAAAAAATCTTGCAGCGTTGCTTTGTAACCTATCCCATTTTTTAAATGTACCACCTGGCAAAGAAAAAATTTCAATTGATATTTATGGGAACACTAAGGAATTCCATCATTTTGAGATTCTTGTGCAATACTGTTTCCTCTACTGAGGCTCCTGGGATTGCGTCAAGTGGCAGCCAGGGAACAGTCACCATGCCCAAATTAAAGTCTCAGCGCTGACATCCCAACATGACCATGTCTCAGTTAAGCATGTCTTATCTGCAGGAGGAGTCCGGCGTGCCCGGGACAGAGCAGTCGTGCAGAAGACTAGCACTGTGTGGAGGAAGCCGTGGTGGGGTAACGGACCCAGACAAACACATCCACCTGCAAGGACACAGTGGGGAAAATGGGCAAAGGTGAGGAACAGGTTTTCTAATGTCAGGAGTCTAGGAAGTCCTTACACACCCTGCTCCCATCTGCAGTAGCGGTGGCCAGAAAAATACTTTTAAAGCTTCCTAAAAATCAAAGATGCCAAACATGGGCGCTACTTTCTCTCCTAGGCTGGGCTACTAGGTGACGAGATGGTTGGAGATCTCCAACCATCTCAGGTTTGTACCTGTCTCTTCCCCTCTGTATTTGGCCTCTTCAAGCTCTAGGTCACTCATTCATTTGATCAATTCTTTCCAGACAAGGCTACCTTTCCGCCTTCTAGTCTAGTAGCTCCTGAGAATCTACTGTACCCCATATACAGAGACGGTTCTCCGCAACACCACGAAGGAGCTCAGCTGATTAGATAAGAAAAGGCAGGAATCCTTCACGGTGACAGGAAATGCGACTAACATGCAGAGAAGCTGTGCAGGTATCTAATGACAGATGTCTGTCTCTACTCATTATGCAGTTTGGCCCTTGGAGTTGATGGGAATGCAGCCGAGAGCCATCACTCTCCAGTAAACTCACACCTACCTTTCTACCCAGACACGAGTGCTCCTAGGAAGGAAGAACTACTCTGATCAAACCTTACCTGCATGGATGGCCCTTGGCCAACAGGCGGACGAAAGGCTCTGTCTGGAGAGTCCTGTCTCGGGTGTACTGCTGGCGTTCACTCCCCAAAGAGTTCCCCAGATGTCACGTTCTGAGGGAAAAAAACGAGAAACACAACTTCCAATGAGACGGGAAATTTAGCTGGGTTTTGGGAAGTCACTCTTTGATACACTTTCGCTTGGTTTCATCTGGAAGCTGCTTCTCCCTGTGTTAAGGGCCCCGACCCACAGCCACCTGGCTGCAAAACTACACATCCCACCAGCACCGTGCCCACGGCTCCTCTCTGCACTTCTAAGGCCTGCTGGGCTGGCTGACCCCCACTGAAAACACGTCTCTTTTCTGATGGACGTTTTCTGCTTAGCTGGCCAGGTTATTTACAAAATCACTCAAAACAAGGCCCTCACATGTCTGCTCTCAGTGAGTGTTTCCTGAGATTGTGGTCTATGCCTGGCAATCCATAGGTGTTTGTAGTCTATGCCTGGCAATCCATAAGGTGTTTGGGTCTCAGACACAAACTGAAAAACATCGGACCGTAAGGCATTAAAATTCCACCTGATGGGCCCTGGACGGTTTGGGTCAGTGGTTAGAGTGTCAGTACACAAACCAAAGAGTCTCAGGTTCGATTCCAGTCAAGGGCACGTACCTTGGTTGTGGTTCAATCCCCAGCCCTGCTCAGGGTCATGTGGAAGGCAACCAATCATTGTTTCTCTCTCTCTCTCTCTCTCCACCCCCGGCCACCAGCCACACTATCTGAAGATAATTGGAAAAAATGCCCTCGGGTGAGGATTAAAACAAAAGTGATGAATCTATCATATGTATAAAGAGCTGCGAAAGTCCGGCCAGTGTGGCTCCGTGGATTGAGCAGTGTCCCATGGACTGAGAGGTCCTGGTTCGATTCCCAGTCAGCGAACATGCCCAGGTTGCGGGCTCCATCCCCAGCAGGGGCGTGTAGGAGGCAGCCGATCCATGTTTCTCTCTCACGTGGATATTTCTGTCTTTCTAAAAAAAGAGCGAGCCAAGAAAGAACTTAACCAATGGTAATATGGAGGTAGCTTCAGTTTTAGGATGGGACTGTGGACAAAAGACCCCACATTTCGGAAGACCTGTTAGGATCGACAACTGTTACTCCCAATAATTGTGCCCACTCTCATCGGACTTAGATTGGTTTTGAATGGTATTTAACTAAAACCAAATGCCATTATGCTTCAGAAGAACAATATCTATCAAGTCCTAGCCTTTTCCCAATAACATGCCTACATGGTCGCACCTGCACAGGTGTCCAAAAGGCCACAGGCAGGGATGGAGAGCCACCAACTGAGTGGACATGGTCGGGACCTGACGCTCCAGAGTCAAGGGGAAGGCTTTATAAGCTCCATCGTCAGCTGACAAGGGAAAAAGAAGAAAAAGAAAGAGAAAAGTATATGCCAATATAAATATAATGTACCTTTCTGTACATGTAAAGCATACATAAACACTATGCATATGTAATCTAATGCAACACCAAGTATTTGAAGTGTGAGCACCCGGAGCTGCAGATTTGGAAGAGTGGATTCTGTCAAGTCCTTTGTGTGTGACCTGCACAACCTCACACACAAGCCCGCTGTCCCATCCCCTGGAGGTCCAACAGACACAGAGCAGCCTAATAATTATGTTAGCAAGATCAAATATTTCAATTCTTTTAAGACTAAATGTTATAGCCCTGGCTGGTTTGGCTCAGTGGTTAGAGCTGGTTCGGTTCCGCTAAGGGCACCTACCTCGTTTGCAGTTTGTCCCTGGCCCCAGTTGGGGTCGTGTGGGTGGCAACCACTCGATGTGTCTCTCTCACATCTATTTTTCTCTCTCTCCCTTCCTCCCTTTCTCCTTCCAGCTCTATCTGAAGATGAATGCAAAAAAAATACCCTCGGGTGAGGATTAAAAAAAAAGACTAAATGTTATAAAACATTTTTTTGGTCCCTGGTGAAGCCCCAGGGAGGCACCTACCAATTTCATTGGCAAAAATAAAGTTTCTAGCTTATCAAGTTTTATAAGACCATCTTCTGAGAAATACATGCATGTCAAAATATCTAAGTATCTAAATTGGAATGAAACTAAATAACTCTTTTTAAAATAGTCTAAAATTTGCTGCTAAGCAATTATCTAGTGAAAGGGTGCTTTTCTGAGACATAACTGGATGTGTCCTAACCATTCTTTATCTAAAAGACACCGAAAATGCAGTATTTTAAAGAAAGCATCTCATGTAAGTTATCCTTGTTAAGCAACCTCAATATAACTATAAGGAGAAGGTTTGATATGACCAAATAAAGAACACATTTGATTACTATATTCAGAGTACCCTCAAAATCGCACAGAACAATGGCTATGTATTTACTGATCTCAACATTGGTGATTACTCAATGAACAAATGAAAATTTGTGTGTATCTCTAAATAACGTTCTAATACTCTTTCTGAAGTCATCTGAAGGACATCATAATAAATTTATCAAATATGTCCACAAGTTTTCTATTATCATGTCACTCATTAAAATATTTTGAAATACTGTATGTTTGTAAAGGTGAAAAATTTTTACTTTTAAATTACTATTATTTACTTTTACATTAAAGAAAAGTTACCCAGCCAGTGTGGCTCGGTGGATTGAGTGTCTTCCCATGGACTGAGAGGTCCTGATTCCATTCCCGTCAAGGGACCTACTCAGGTTGTGGGCTCGATCCCCAGTAGGGGGCATGCAGGAGGCAGTCGATCGATGTTTCTTTCTCATCTCTATGCTTCTCTCTCTCCCTTCCTCTCTCTCTAAAGTATCAATAAAAACATACTTTAAAAACATACAGTTGGTAAAACATGCATCTGTTGTCTCAATATGAACTACGGATACAAGACCACTGTCTTCACTATTTCACTTTCTATCTGACAAGTCAATAAACAAATCTTGAAATATCTAACACAGCATGGAAGCTTACAAATCTATTTTCTTTTTAAAGTTTTTTCTTTATTGATTTTAGAGAGAGAGGAAGGGAGAGGGAAAGAGAGACAGAAACATTGATGAGAGAGAACATCAATTGGCTGCCTCCTGCATGCCCCCCACTGGGGTCTGGCCCACAACCTGGGCATGTGCCCTGACTGGGAATTGAACCAGCAACCTCTTGGTGCATGGGTCGATGCTCAACCACCGAGCCACACTGGCTGGGCTACAATTCTATTTTCAAACATCTTTCCCTAAAATAATTTTACCAACAACAGGTATTTTAAAGATGTGATTGTCATAATGTCTACACCTTTGGTCACATCTTCCCATGGATGTTGTAGCTCTTAGACATATATCCAGTAGAACTTTGGTTCCTGGAAACAAAGCTCTGGACGACCGAGGAGCTGGAGTAACGGCACGTCACTGTGCACACATAAGTGCAGACACAGAGAACCGGGTCCTGAACACTACGGCTTGCAAAGAAAAGAATTTAGACCTTGACTACCTGAGTTTTCAGAAAGTCCCAATAGAAGCTGAACAGCCATTTCCTGCCAGAGAAATACATGGATGCCTTTCTTCAGAAAGAATTTTAAAAATCTAAGTTAAGGTCCTGGATTGCAGAAGAGAAAGATACAAAATGCTTCTAAATGGAGAAAAGCAATCAACCTTCTAAAACCACTAAACACATGGCAAGTGGTAGCACCCCTCTGGCGGATGTCACATCTGACTGTTACATAGGTGGTGTACGCAGATTAATATATTTATATGTGTACAACAGTTCCTCAACCCGTTTCCCAATTGTCACCTGCTGTGTGTCTGCTTCTGTAGCTGTTCGGAAGGCCATGGACCACTGTAACATTAGCTATCTGTTTTGCTTCCCGAGACCCAATTTCCACCCCAGGAGGGTGACGTCAGCGACACTGCGCATGCATGGTGAACAGCAAGCTGGGAGGAGTGACTACGTGGACGGGTGTGGAATGTTCCTGGCCACCATGAGCTGCCCGGTGGGTCCCCACTGTGTTCTGTCGCACGTACTCCACAGGACAACGGCGCCGATCTCTCAGTCACGTATCTCACTGGGCCCAAGAGCATCTTCGCTCCTGAAAAGGAAGAAACTGTTCAAACACTCTTAATCGCCAATGCCTTTATGCTTTGAGCCAATCACACGAATGTCAACAGTCCCAGACTCTTACCGGAGTGGAAGCCACAGCAAATTCACCAGGTTGTCAATGTCTATGTCTGACATGACCACAAGAGGCCTCCCAAAACACATTAAATTATTGACTAGTTGAGCAAACAAACAAAACCTCAAAACACTGACTAGAAAAAACACAACTTTTAAAAAGAGGCATTCTACTGTCAAAGGATAAACATTGACATCAACGAGAATCTAAATGCCAATGGTGGTTTGCTGAGTTTTAAATGCAACTTAAAATTTGAAGCAAGAGGGCAGGGGGTGGAAGGAGATAGAAGAGGGTGAAGGGGAGGATAAATGGTGATGAAAGGAGCCCTGACTTGAAAGAATATATGCACTCCTATGTTCATTGCAGTATTGTTTACAATAACCAAGATTCGGAAGCATCCCAAGTGCCCATCAGCAGATGAGTGGATTAAAAAGTGGTGGTACATCTAACACAATGGAATACTACATGGCTCTAAAAAATGAAAGAAAAAATCTTACCCTTTTCTGCAGCATGGATGGACCTGGAGAGTGTTATGCTAAGGGAAATAAAGGAGTCAGAGAAAGACAAGTAGCATATGAAAAAGATGAAGGGTTTGCCCAGCCAGTGAGGCTCACTGGATGAGCGTCCACCCATGCACAAAGAGGTCGCCAGTTCAATTTCCAGTCAGGACACAAGCCTGGGTTGTGGGCCCGATCCGCAGTGTTGGACATGCAGGAGGCAGCCAAACTATGTTCTCTCTAATCGGTATTTCTATCGTGCTCCCTCTCCTTTCCTCTCTCTCTAACATCAATAAGGAAAAAATAAATTTAAAAAAAGCGAAAGGTTTAAGTAAAAAAAAACCTCATAGATATAGTATCATGATTATTGGAGAAAAGGGGGGTTAGAGGAGATAGTAGAGTAAAGGGGGGATAAATACTATTGGAAGAAGACTTGACTTGGGGGTGAATACACAGTACAATATATACAATATATATGAATTTGTACAACTGAAACCTAGATAATTTTATTTACCAATGTCACCCCAGTATATTCAATAAAAAGACAAATACCTGGTTGGTTTTGGCAAAGAAGTGCTGCTTGCCATCACAAGGGATCCACCGACATCCCACGGACGCTGCGAGGCTGGACTCCGAGGGCGCCGCCTCACCAGAGAGTGTCCAGGTTTCCTGGCAGCCGACCCTGGGAAGTGTGGAGAAATCAAATGCAGGGTTGAGAATCATGCCCAAGTTTTAAGGTAACAAGATCCAGGCCACACTTCCCCTTGGGGTAAGCCTTACATCTGCTGGTCCTGCACCTCTGTCCCTGCAGGTGTGTGTGATACCGCACATGCAGGCAGGTATGCAAGTATGTGGGTGCATGCCTCAGCCCCTACAAGCATTCCTTCTGCACAAATCCCTCTTCAATCCCTGCCACCTAGTGATGGAAGACTGGTACCTTCAGAAAGACAGTATGTGAACGCTGACCTAGAAGCTGCAGAGAGTCCATGAACCCACCTTTCAGCCACTCCTCCAAGCAAAGCACAACGCTGAGTCTACCTACACCTCTTCCAGACCCTACGTGTGATGGCAGCATGTACACTGTGTTTCCCTGCAAGCGTCCATAAGTGAACTGCACTTGATGGAAAATTTGCAACCAACCGAACAATGTGACCACCACCATCATGGCTGGCAACACAGGGACACTGGTTAGTGGGCAACAGGTGGCCTATCTTAATATTAAGTTGCCAAAAGAGTCCAGGTCAGGTGACTGCTCATGTCTTTGGTGGGCCAGCAGATCCCAGAAGAGAAATGGTGAGTTTATCAACCATGACAAAAAGTAACACCCAATGGCAACTCGGGCAGATTCCCATCCAAGAATCAGGCACTTCCAAGCCAATGAAATTCAACGTCCTGACCTCAGAGAAAATACTCAAACACGTGGCTGCCATATTCAAAGTAACATCTGAATGCCCCCAGTGTAGTCTCAAAAGCCACGCCCACAAGGAGGACGGTGGACTTCAGGGAGGACAGCCACACACTCCGACTTGGCATAACAGAGCTCAAGCATTTTATCCTCGAAGACAGAAGGAAGAACTAAAACAAAACAACACATTGCCCACACTAGGAAATGTGGGGTTTTCCAAAGCAGATGTGTGTCCATAGCACCTGGGATCACAACACTCAAAGTCCTGCCATGCCCAGACCCTCCCACCATCAATGTAAACATCTGTAAAGACAAAGAGAGCCGCCAGGACCAGGAAAATCAAACCATTGTATACTAACTCTCTGACGTGAACATTCTAAGCTCTGAGGACTAACATCAAAGAGAATGAGAGTCATGGTCCATACAACTCTTCCAGGCAACAGGAAAAGAACTGTGGAGCCCCACAAGTCTGGAAGGGAAACTCCAAGTGAACCCGGGTCAGCTACCAGAGCCCCAGAACAGACTGAGAAGCCTTCCCTGGGTGGCACCAACTGGCCACCGATCCAAGAACCCCAGACACTGCTGGAAGCAATGGCCTCGGCTGAAACAATGCAGCATGTCCAGTGGCAGACCATGGAACACACCACCACCTCCCAGAGCTTCCTTTCTTGTCCTGGGAGTGAGCTGCTACCATGTTGACTTCAGAGCAAATTCCAGATTTAGTCAGTGGTTGGCCACCTTGTAAGGGGACTGACTGAGGAACTGAAACAGCCGGCAGCCAAGTGAAGCACCATGGTCGACTCCCTCAGCCCCTACGGCCAATTCAGTGCCATCAAACATCCTCGAGAGAAGTTGAGAAGAGTCACAACCTGCAGGCCTGGGGCTGCAACCCACTGACCATGAAGGGTCCGGTTTCTGATCTCCAGCTGCTAGAAAAGGACCTACCAGGGCTACATTGGCTGGGAAACATGGCCAAGCTGCATCCAAACCATGTACTCAGTGGGGCTGTGCCATACCACATACTCAAATGTTAAATTCAGAGAACATGCCAGTCAGTGCCATACCACATACTCAAACACTAAATTCAGAGAACATGCCAGTCAACGTGACAAAGGCCGAGCCATCCAACTAAAAACCCACTAATGCAATGAAAGTACTGATTATTAAGACAGGAGGCTCTCTGATGCTGAACCCCTAGGTGAAGCTTGCATGAGTGTGACCAAGGGGAGCTGTCCCTCACTCCTGCCTTCCCTGGGGTACTCAATGTGCTGGACCTCAGATCCGATGAGAACGACGGTTGGAGTTCTCACTCATTTTGTTCAGCTTTTCCAAGGAATGCTTATATGAGGGAGACTCATCATCGATCCGAGCACATTCTGAGATGCTTTTTAACTGACCGGGGCAAGCTGGCAGTTCACTGGGTGAGCCATTTATCTGAGACCTCCAATGTAGTGGAGAATCAAGGTCCACACCACTGAGCAATCAATCACTCTTGAAGAAAACCACTGGGGACACATGGACAGGCCATGCGTAGCAGGTCTATGAAAGCTAAAGTGATGGCCAAGACCTGACACAGAGGAATTCTTACCTTCCTGAGCAACCCAGTCATGGTGCACACCCAGGGACAACCTTCCGGCAGCACACCTGCACACTTGCGGTCACCAAAGGGAAGGAAGATGATCTCTTCATGGCTCGTGGCGAGCCTTGCACGATCACTGCCCCTGGGAAGTGTAAAGAAACCACACGCATATTTGGGTGACATACCCAGATTCTCAGGAAACAAGATGCATGTCAACCTTCCCTCAGGGTGACCTCTTCCTAAAGATAATACTCCAGAGCCAGCAAGCCGGTGGGAGCCTGGCCAACACAAACCCATGCCACGAGCTCACTGGACCGAGGCACTGCCCTTTCTCTCAGATTACTGGAACTAGAATCAGTGGTAGCTAAGCATGCAAAACTATGGCCATTCACTAAAAACAACCAATCTTAAAATTAAACTAAAGAATGAAAACATAACAAAAAATTTGACCTTTTTAAATACTGATGCCCTGGGTGGTACTTGCATGAGTGCAACTAAGGGGAAGCTGTCCCTTACTCCCGACTTCCCTGGGGCAGCAAACCTGGACCTAACGTGAGATGAGTACCACAGTTAAGAGTCATCAGTCATTTTGTTCAGCTTTTCCAAGGAGTTCTTGTATGGGGGGGGGGGGGTCATCATTGATCGGAACACGTTCCTGGGAGAAGCAGCCTGAAACACTCAGTGAGTGAGTCATGACCTCAGTATATTCAGGCTCCTTAACACTGAGCCTCCAAAACTGTCAACTATTCTTGGTACGAAACCCAGTATGCATCTGGGGCACGTAAACAGGCTGCCTCCCTCTGCCAGGGCTGCAGATACCTAAGCAAAGGGCAGAACATGGGTGAGAGAAATGCTTACCTTTCTCAGTGATCCACGGGCATGGTACACACCCAAGGATGCACTTGGGCATGTCTCCCGCCAAACTCCCATCATCAAATCAGGAAGGTGGTCTCTTCACGACTTACATCCAGTCCTGCACCGCCGCTCCACCTGGGAAGTGTAGAGAATCACGTGGACATTTGAGAAACATACCCAGGTCAGGTAACAAGAGGGCAAGCAAGGGAAGCTGTCCCTCCCTCCCTCCTACTGTCCCTGGGACACTAAATGTGCTGGACCTCAGATCCGATGAGAACGACGGTATGAGTTCTCACTCATTTTGTTCAGCTTTCCAAGGAATGCTTATATGAGAAGGTCATCATTGATCCGAGCACGCTCTGGAACTGGAAGTTCAGCAGGGCAGGCAGGGTGGCTCATTAAGAAAGTGCATGACCTCACATGGCCCAGGGACATCCACACCCAAACCAACGAGCAAACGTGCACCTCTGGAGGAAAACTTCACGTGCCATTCAGGACGTCCTAACAAATGAACCCCAGGAGCTCCAAAAACACAACAGCTAACGAACGAACCTGGTAAGAACAAGGCTTACCTTTCTGAGAGATCCCAAGACATGGCACACACTCAGGGCCACACATCTTCCAGGACCCATATTACCCTGGGTCACTCAGAGAGAGAAAGGTCTTCTTTTCTTGGCTGATGAAGAACCTTGCAGTTCACCTCTACCTGGAACGTGAAGAGAAATCACAGGTATGTTTGAGTAACGTACTCAGGTTCTCAGATAACTGATCCATGTTCTCATTAGTGGGCCTTGCACCTGACTGTCACCTGCCTCAGTCCCTGAGGTATGACTGCAGAAAAGTGTGATATGATGCATGTAAATTGGTCTGGAAATAATATAGTGTTGGTGGGTAGAGGCCTCCTCAAATGAACAAGAAGCCCTGTGCTCAGATCCCTGGACAACACTGATCATAGACACCAAACTAATGCTATCAAAATACTGACCGTAAGTCAAGAGGCTCAGTAAGGCTGATGCCATAGTAGGGGCTGGCATGAGTGTGACCAAGGGTAACCTGTTCCTCACTCCCGCCTGCCCTGGGGAACTCAACGTGCTGGACCTCAGATCCGATGAGAACGACGGTTGGAGTTCTCACTCATTTTGTTCAGCTTTTCCAAGGAATGCTTATATGAGGGGGAGTCATCATCGATCCAAGCACGCTCAGGGATGCAGGACATTTTGGAGAAACAGCCTGGGCAGCTCACACACTCAGTGAGCCAATGGCCCCAGTGTCTTCCCAGGCCAGGATATTCTGGATCCTAATCTTTGGTTACCAAAACTGTCAACCACTCTTGGTAACAAAACAAAAAAAAAAAGAAAGAAAGAAAGACAGAAAACCCTGTATGCATCTAGAGCAGCAGTTTTCAACCTGTGGGTTGCGACCCCTTTGGGAGTCGAACGACCCTTTCACAGGGGTTGCATTAGACCGTCGGGAAACACATTATTTCCGATGGTCTTAGGAACCGAGAAACGGCTCCTCTATCCGTCCCCAGGTGGGTCCGCCCACATGCAGATGCGCCCACACACAACATGAGGAGCTGTATGACAGGGTCGCAGCATTAGGAAGGTTGAGAACCACCGATCTAGAGAAACATAAACAGATTGTTTCTGCCAGGTCTTCAGATTCCTAAAGCCAACGGCAGAAAGTGGGTCAGAGAAATGCTTACCTTCCTGAGTGATCCACAGCTGTGTTGCAGACAGGGACAAGCACCCGAACGACTCGCGCAGAACTCCCATCATCGAATGAAGGAAGGTGGTCTCCACGTAACTGACAGTCTGTCTTGCACGGCCACTCCACCTGGGAAGTGAGTGTAGAGAACCATGTGCACATCTGAAACATGTACCCAGGTCTTCAGGGAACAGTCCCCCGAGTAGAGCTTGCATGAGTGCGACCAAGGCGCGTTGCCCCTCCTTCCCACTGTCCCTGCAGCACTCAACGCGCTGGACCTCAGATCCGATGAGAACGACGGTTGGAGTTCTCACTCATTTTGTTCAGATTTCCAAGGAATGCTTATATGAGGGAGTCATCATCGATCCGAGCACGTGCTAGAGCTTTGGAAATTCAGCAGGGCAGGCAGGGAGGCTCCTTAAGGAAGTGAATGACTCCAGAGTCCTCCAGCAGCCCGGGAGCACCCACACCCCATTCAGGACACACAAACCAGCACTGCCGGCAGCCCCACAAACCAAAACTAATGGAGGGACGTGGAGCAGAGCAAGGCTTACCTTCCTGAGTGATCCCCAGCAGGGTGTGCCCTCAGGGCCCCAGATCTTCTGAAGTCTCCAGAACCTCCGTTCAGCCAGGATGAGATGGACCTTGTTTTCTGGCCTGATGATGAAACTTGCAGTGCGCCTCTACCTGAGAAGTGGACAGAAATCACAGGTGCGTTTGGGGAATGTCCTCAGGTCATTATATCCATCCGCTCCCACCTAGTGGGCCTTGCATCTGATTGTCACCTACTTCTGTCCCTATGTATGACTACAGGAAGGTGTGATTACATTGGTGTGGGTCAGGCTGAGAACATGTACACGTGTTTGTGGGCAGAGGCCTCCTCAATCGAACAAGCAAGAAGCCCTGCGCTCAGATCCCTGGACAACACTGACCACACCAAACTAACGCCATGAATATGCTGAGAGTAAGTCAGGAGGCTCTGTAAGATGGATGCCATGGGGGGCTGGCAAGAGTGTGACCAAGGGAGCTGCCCCTCACTCCCGCCTGCCCTGGGGAACTCAACGTGCTGGACCTCAGATCCGATGAGAACGACGGTTGGAGTTCTCACTCATTTTGTTCAGCTTTTCCAAGGAATGCTTATATGAGGGAGTCATCATTGATCCAAGCACGCTCAGGGATGCAGGGCACTTTGGAGAAGCAGCCTGGGCAGCTCACACACTCAGTGAGCAAATGACCTCAGTGTCTTCCCCGGGCAGGGATATAATGGATCCTAACCTTTGGTCACCAAAACTGTCAACCACTCTTGGTACAAAAAACTTTGTGCATCTGGGGATACGAAAACAAGCTATTTGGGACAGGTCGACAAATTCCTTAAAAAAACCGTAGAACATGGGCAGAGAAAGGCTTACCTTCCTGAGCGATCCACAGGCAGGGTTCACCCCCGGGAAACACTCCCTGCACACATCACACAAAACGCCCATCAGCAAATACAGGAAGGTGCTCTCTGCATGACTGACATCCCATCTTGCACGGCCGCTCCGCCTGTGTAGAGTAACACGCACTAATAAGAAACGTACCCAAGTTCTCAATAATAAGACACTGAGTAGTGCTGGCGTGAGAGTGACCAAGGGGAGCTGTCCCTCCCTCCTACGGTCACTGGGGCAGTAAACGTGCTGGACCTCAGATCCGATGAGAACGACGGTTGGAGTTCTCACTCATTTTGTTCAGATTTCCAAGGAATGCTTATATGAGGGAGTCATCATCGATCCGAGCACGTTCTAGAGCTCTGGAAATTCAGCAGGGCAGGCTGGGCGGCACACTGAGACAGTGAACGACCTCAGAGGCATTCACATCCAAGCCTCTGAGCAGGAGAGACACCCACACAAGCCACCTCTAGCAGCGTCAACATACAAGTTAATTAATGGACTTGGAGCAGAGAAACACTTACCTTCCTGAGTGATCCCCAGGCTCGGTGCACTCAGGGCCACAGAGCTTCTGAGAGTCCGGCAAACTTCGGTCATCCAGGGAGAGAAAAGTCCTCCCTTCTTGGCTGCTGAAGAACCTGGCAGTGCACCTGAGAAGTGAATGAAAGCATAGGTGCTTTTGAGTAATGTACGCAGGTAATTATTCCATCCTCTCCCCTTAGTGAGCATTGCGTCACATTGTCACCTAATTCTGTCCCTGAGATGTGACAGGAGATGTGATATCGTGTGTACGTCAGTGTGTAGGAAATATATACGCATGAGCAGATGGGCAGAGGCCTCCTCAACTGAACAAGCAAGAAGCCCTGTGCTCAGATCCCTGGAAACCACCGCTTACGAACACCAAGCTGATGCCGATAAGTATGGATGGTAAGTAGGGTTGTCTGAGGCTGACGTCCTGAGTGGTGCTGGCATGAGTATGACCAAGGGGAGCTGTCCCTCACTGCAGTTGTACTGGGGCATTAAATGTGCTGGAACTCAGATCTGATGACGACGACAGTATGAGTTCTCGTTTTGTTCCAATTTCCAAGGAATGCTTATATGAGGGAGTCACCTCAATCTGAACATGTTCTAGAGCTATGGAAAATTCTGTAGGCAGTCTGGGAGGCTCATTAAGAATGTGAATGACCTGCTCTGACCTGCCCTGGCCGGTTTGGCTCAGTGATTAGAGCTTCGGCCCGCGGATCAGAATGTCCCATATTTGGTTCCCACTAAGGGCATGTATCTCGGTTGCAGTTGGTCCCCGGCCCCGGTTGGGGTTGTGTGGGAGGCAACCACTCGATGTGTTTCTCTCACGTCAATGTTTCTCTTTCGATCCCTCCCTCTCCTTCCCGCTCTGTCTGAAAATAAATAAGTAAATAAAAGAACGTGAATGACCTAAGCACCCACCAGGTGCCCAAAGCATCCATACCCAACCCACTGAGCATGAGGAACTCTCAGTCCCTCCTAGAGGGAAGCCCCATGTGCAGTCACTAAACTCAAGTACGTGTAGCAGCTCCAAAAACCAAAAGCTAAAGGAGGGACTTAAAGCACAGCAAGGCTTACCCTCCTGAGTGATCCGCACACACGGTGGGCACTCAGGGCCACAGATTCTCTCAAAGTCCCACGAATCTTCGTTCATTCATCCAAAGGAGAGGTCGCTTGTTTTCTGGGCTCATAAAGAACCTGGCAGTGCACCTCCACCTGAGAAGTGAATAGATATAGTAGGTATGTTTGAGTAATGTACTCAGGTTCTCAGGTAACTGATTCATGCTCTCCCCATTAGTGGGCCTTGCATCTGATTGACACCTGCTTCTATGCCTGAGGTATGACTGCAGGAGGTTGTGATATCATGCATGTAGGTTGGTCTGGGAATATGTACACATATGTTTGTGGGCAGAGGTTTCCTCACCTGAACAAGCAAGAAAGCCATATGCTCAGATCCTTGCACACCATCAATTATAAACATCCAATTAAAGCCATGAATATAACTGACAGTAAGTTAGATAGCTCTCTGAGCCTGATGTCCTGAGTGGTGCTGGCATGAGTGTGACCAGGGGCGCTGTCCCTCACTCCTGCCTTCCCTGGGGCACTCAACGTGCTGGACCTCAGATCCGATGAGAACGACGGTTGGAGTTCTCACTCATTTTGTTCAGCTTTTCCAAGGAATGCTTATATGAGGGGGAGTCATCATCGATCCAAGCACGCTCAGGGATCAGGACATTTTGGAGAAGCAGCCTGAGCACCTCACTTAGTGAGGTAGTGACAGCCTGATACTCTTGACCCCTGACCATGAGTACACCTCAACTTTCCCCATACTTGGCACAAACCCTGTGAGCATCCGGAGACAAACAATCACACTGCCTCTGCCAGGGCTACAGATTCCTTTAGAAAATGATACAATGTGGGATGGAGAAATGCTCACCTTCCTCAGCAATCCAGAGGCAAGGTGCACACGCAGGGACACATTCCCTGCAAGGGCAGTTTGCCACACAGCTCCCATCAGCAAATAGAGGAGATGCTCTCTTCACGACTGACACCAAATTCCACCGCAGTGCTACCTAGAAAGTGCAGAGAATAACATGCACATTTGAGAAACGGAGTCAGGTTCTCAGGTAAAAAGACCCTGACTGGTGCTTGACTATGTGTGACCAAGGGGAGATGTCTCTCCGTCCTCCTAGTGTCCCTGCAGCACTAACTGTGCTAGACCTCAGATCCAATGGGAATGACAGTATGAGTTCTCACTCATTTTGTTCAGATTTCCAAGGAAGGCTTATATGAGGGAGTCATCATTGATCTGAGCCCGCTCTAGAGCTCTGGGAAATTCAGCAGGGCAGGCTGGGTGGCTCATTAAGAAAGTGAATGACCAAAGAGACATTCACACCCAAGCCACGGAGCAAGAGGGACACTCAGTCCACTGCGGGAGGGAAACCTCGTGTGTCATTCAGGACACCCACACAGGCCACCTCTAGCAGCTTCAAACATACAACAGCTAATGGATGGACATGGAGCAGAAAAACACTTACCTTCCTGAGTGATCCCCAGGCCCGGTGCACACTCAGGGCCACAGAGCCTCAAGAAGTCCTGCAAACTACTGTCACCCAGGGAGAGAATGGTATTTCTCTTGGCTGGTAAATACCTTTAAGGGCACCTCTACCTGAAAAGTAAACAGAAATCATAGTGCTTGTGAGTAATGTACCCAGGTGCTCAGGTAATTAACTCATGTCATCCGTTCCCCCTCTGTAGGCCTTGCATTAGATTACTACCTACTACTGTCCCTAAAGTATGACAAAGGCTTGATATTACATGTGTAAGAAAGTCTGAAAATATATACTCATGAGTTAATGGGCAGAGGCCTTCCCAACTGAACAAGAAGCCCTGTGCTCAGATCCCTGGACAACACCGCTTACGAACACCAAGCTGATGCCGTGAAGTATGAACAGTAAGTCAGGGGCCATCTGAGGCTGACGTTCTGAGTGGTGATTGCATGAGTGTAACCCAGGGGAGCTGTCCCTCACTCCTATGGTGCCTGGGGACTAAACGTGCTGGACCTCAGATCCGATGAGAACGACGGTTGGAGTTCTCACTCATTTTGTTCAGCTTTTCCAAGGAATGCTTATATGAGGGAGAGTCATCATCGATCCGAGCACGTTCTGGTAAGCTGGAAAATTCAGCGAGGCAGGCTGGACAGCTCATTGGGTAAGAGAATGACTCAGAGTCCTACAGAGAAGCTTGGAGCATCAAGATCCAACCACTGAACAAGAGGAACCCCTCGGTCCACTCTTGGAGGAAACCTCATGTGCCACCCAAGACATGCAAACAAGCACCTCTAGAAGCTCCAAATGGATGGACTTGGAGCAGAGAAACACTTACCTTTCTGAGTGATTCCCAGGCTCGGTGCACACTGAGGGCCACACAGCTTCTGAGAGTCCTGCAAACTTCGGTCATCCAGGCAGGCAATAGTCTTTTCTTGGCCACTGAAGAACCTTGCAGCGAACCTCTACCTGAGAAGTGAACAGAAATCATAAGTGCTTTGAGTAATGTACTCAGGTCCTCAGGTAATTAATTCATCCTTTCCCCCTTAGAGGGCATTGCATCAGATTGTCACCTACTTCTGTCCCTGAGGATGACAGGAGGTGGGATATCATGTGTGTAGGTCAGGGTGTAAGAAATACATAAGCATGAGTTGATGGGCAGAGGACTCCTCAATTGAACAAAAAGCCCTGTGCTCAGATCCCTGGACAACACTGCTTACGAACACCAAGCTGATGCCGTGGAAGTATGAATGGTAAGTGAGGGGCCGTCTGAGGCTTTTGTCCTGAGTGGTGCTGGCATGAGTGTGACCAAGGGGAACCTGTCCCTCACTCCTGCCTGCCCTGGGGCACTCAACGTGCTGGACCTCAGATCCGATGAGAACGACGGTTGGAGTTCTCACTCATTTTGTTCAGCTTTTCCAAGGAATGCTTTAATGAGGGACTCATCATCGATCCGAGCACGCTGACAAATGCAGGACATTTTGAGAAGCAGCCTGAGTAGTTCACTCAGTGAGGCAATGTGCTCAGTGTCTTCCATGGCCTGGAAAATCTTGGATCCTCAACTGCTGAGCACACCTCAACTGCCAACCACTCTTGGTACAAAACCCTGTATATGTCTGGGGACAGGAAAACAGGCTGCTTCTGCCAGGGCTCCTAATTCCTGAAGCAAATGGCAAAATGTGAGTCAGAGAAATGCTTACCTTCCTGAGCAATCCACAGGCAGGGTGCACACCCAGACACACACTTCCTGCACATGTCCTGCAGACTCCATCATTACATAAAGGAAGATGCTCTCTTCATGACGGATGGCCCATCTTGCACAGCCGCCCCACCTGGGAGTGTAAATAATGACATGCACATTTGAGAAATAAACCCAGGTTGTCAGGTAACAAGATCCCTAAGTAGTGCCTACATGAGTGTGACCAAGGGGAGCCGTCCCTCACTGCAGCTGTCACTGGGGCACTCAACGTGCTGGACCTCAGATCCGATGAGAATGACGGTATGAGTTCTCACTCATTTTGTTCAGATTTCCAAGGAATGCTTACATGAGGGAGTCATCATCGATCCGAGCACGTCCTAGAGCTCTGGGAAATTCAGGAGGGCAGGCTGGGAGGCTCATTAAAAATAACCACCCTGGCCGGTTTGGTTCAGAGGTTAGAACGTCAGCCTGCAGAACAGAGTTCCCCAGGTTCAGTTCTGGCTAAGGACACGTACCTCGGCTGCAGTTTGTCCCCATCCCTAGTTGGGGTTATGTGGGTGGCAACCATTCGATGTGTCTCTCTCATGTTAATGGTTCTCTCTCTTCCTCCCTCCCTCCCTCCAGCTCTATCTGAAGATAAAGCAAAAATGTCCTCGGGTGAGGATAAAAAACAAAACCAAAAAAGAAAGTGAACGACCTAAGAGGCATTCACATCCAAGGACTGAGCAGTAGGGACACCCACACAGGCCACCTCTAGCAGCGTCAAAATACAAGTAAATGGATGGACTTGGAGCAGAGAAACACTTACCTTCCTGAGTGATCCCCAGACTCGGTGCACTCAGGGCCACAGAGCTTCTGAGAGTCCGGCAATCTTCAGTCATCCAGGGAGAGAAAGGTCCTCTTTTCTTGGATGCTGAAGAACCTGGCAGTGCACCTGAGAAGTGAACAGAAATCATAGGTGCATTTGAATAACGTGCTCAGGTCCTCGGGTAAATTAATCCATCCTCTCCCCATTGTGGGCCTTGCATCTGATTGACACCTGCCTCTGTCCCTGAGGGATACTGCAGGAAGTTGTAACATCGTGCATGTAGATTGGTCTAGCAATATGTATGCATGAGTTGGTGGGCAGAGGCCTCCTCACCCGAACAAGCAAGAAAGCCCTGTGCTCATATCCTTCGACACCACTGTTCATAGACACCAAACGAATGCTATTAAAACACTGAAAGTAAATCAGGAGGCTCTGTGAGCCTGATACCATGGGGGTGCCTGCATGGGTGTGACCAGGGGCGCTGTCCCTCACTCCTGCCTGCCTTCCCTGGGAACTCAACGTGCTGGACCTCAGATCCGATGAGAACGACGGTTGGAGTTCTCACTCATTTTGTTCAGATTTCCAAGGAATGCTTATTATCAGGGAGTCATCATCGATCCGAGCACGTCCTAGAGCTCTGGGAAATTCAGCAGGGCAGGCTGGGTGGCTCGTTAAGAAAGTGAATGACCTCAGAGGCATTCATATCCAAGCCACTGGATAAGAGGGACACCCACAGAGGCCACCTCTAGCAGCTTCAAACATACAACAGTTAATGGATGGACTTGGAGCAGAGAAACACTTACCTTTCTGAGTGATCCCCAGGCTCGATGCACACTGAGGGCCACACAGCTTCTGAGAATCCTGCAAACTTCGGCCATCCAGGCAGGCAATAGTCTTTTCTTGGCCACTGAAGAACCTTGCAACGAACCTCTACCTGAGAAGTGAACAGAAATCATGGGTGCATTTGAGTAACGTGCTCAGGTCCTCAGGTAATTACTCTATCCTCTGCCCCTTAGAGAGCATTGCATCAGATTGTCACCTATTTCTGTCCCTGAGGTATAACAGGAGGTGTGATATCATGTGTGTACATCAGTGTATAGGAAATATATATATGCATGAGTTGATTGGCAGAGGCCTCAACTGAACAAGAATCCCTGTGCTCAAATCTCTGGACAACACCGCTTACGAACACCAAGCTGATGCCATGGAAGTTTTAAAGGTAAGTCAGGGGCCGTCTGAGGCTGACGTCCTGAGTGGTGCTGGCATGAGTGTGACCAATGAGAACCTGTCCCTTACTCCTGCCTGCCCTGGGGCACTCAACGTGCTGGACCTCAGATCCGATGAGAACGACGGTTGGAGTTCTCACTCATTTTGTTCAGCTTTTCCAAGGAATGCTTTAATGAGGGACTCATCATCGATCCGAGCACGCTCAGAGATGCAGGGCATTTTGGTGAGACAGCCTGGGCGGTTCACATACGTAGAATGTCCACTACATCAGTGTCTGCCTGGGGCCTGCGTATACTGGATTCTAAATGTTGAGCTACTAGAATTGTCAACCACTCTTGGTACAAAACCCTGTATATGTCTGGGGACAGGAAAACAGGCTGCTTCTGCCAGTTCTCCTAATTCCTAAAGCAAAGGGCAAAATGTTGAGTCAGAGAAATGCTTACCTTCCTGAGCAATCCACAGGCAGGGTGCACACCCAGACACACACTTCCTGCACATGTCCCGCAAACTCCATCATTATATAAAGGAAGATGCTCTCTTCATGACGGATGGCCCATCTTGCACAGCGGCCCCACCTGGGAGTGTAAATAATGACATGCACATTTGAGAAATAAACCCAGGTTGTCAGGTAACAAGATCCCTAAGTAGTGCCTGCATGAGTGTGACCAAAGGGAGCTGTACCTCACTGCAGCTGTCACTGGGGCACTCAACGTGCTGGACCTCAGATCCGATGAGAACGACGGTATGAGTTCTCACTCATTTTGTTCAGATTTCCAAGGAATGCTTACATGAGGGAGTCATCATCGATCCAAGCACGTTCTGGAACTCTGAAAAGTTCATCAGGGCAGGCTGGGCGGCCCAATGGGTAAGTAAATAACCTCAGAGTCCTCCAGCTGCTGGGTAGTGCTCAAGGACTGAGCAAGAGAAATATTCAGTCTACTCCTAGAGGAAAGCGCTATGTGCCATTCAGGACACCCTAACAAGGCATACACGTTAAGATTCAAAAGTCCGAAAGCTAATGGATGGATCTGGTGAGAACAAGGCTTACCTTCCTGAGTCATCCCCAGGCATGGTGCACAGTCATGACCACACATCTCCTGGGACACCCATGACCGGCGTCGTTCAGGGAGAGAAAGGTCTTCTTTTCTTGGCTGATAAAGAACCTTGCAGTTCATCTACCTGATAAGTGGACAGAAATCATAAGTGCATTTGAGTAATGTACCCAGGTTCTCAGGTAATTAATCTATGTCACCCTTACCAATTAACAGGTCTGGCCTTGGGTCATCACCTAGTGCTGTCCCTGAGGTATGACGACAGGCATGTGATACCTTTGTGTAGTGCCACAGCCACACTACACAATATAGACTACAACAGGAGCTCGCAGATGGGACAGAAAGCCTGGCATTCCCCAAATAGTATTTAACATAAACACCCAATGGATACCATGAAAATACGAACAAGTAAGTCAGGATGTTCTATGAGGCTGATGCCATGGGGGGCTGGCATGAGTGTGACCAAGGGGAACTATCCCTCACTCGTGCCTGCCCTGGGGCACTCAACGTGCTGGACCTCAGATCCGATGAGAACGACGGTTGGAGTTCTCACTCATTTTGTTCAGCTTTTCCAAGGAATGCTTTAATGAGGGACTCATCATCGATCCGAGCACGCTCAGGGATGCAGGACATTTTGGAGAAGCAGCCTGGGCGGCTCACATACTCAGTGAGCCAATGACCTCAGTATTTTCCTGTGGCCTGGGTATTCGTGATCATATCTGTTGGCCACCCAAACCGTCAACTGCTCTAAATACAAAAGCGTGTGGGCATCTGGGGCACGAAAACAGGCTGCCTCTATCAGGGGTGCAGATTCCTAAGCAAATGGCAGGACATGGTCAGAGGAATGCTTACCTTCCTGAGCAGTCCACCGGCAAGGTGCACCCCTAGGGACACACTTCCTGCACTTCTCCCACAAACTCCCATCATCAAATAGAGGAAAATCGTCTCTTCACGACAGTCAGGCGTGCACAGCCGCTCCACCTGGGAAGTGTAGAGAATCACATGCACCTTTGAGAAACGCACCCAGGTTCTCAGGTAACAAGACCCTGAGCAGTGCTTTCATGATGTGAGCGAGGGGCCCTGTCCCTCCCTCTTGCTGCCTCTGGGACACTGAAGGTGCTGGACCTCAGATCCGATGAGAACGACGGTTGGAGTTCTCACTCATTTTGTTCAGCTTTCCAAGGAATGCTTTTATGAGGGAGTCATCATCGATCCGAGCACATTCTAGAATGCTGGAAATTAGGAAGACAGGCTGCATGCCTCACTGGGTTAGGCAATGAGCTCAGAGTCCTCCAGTGGCCTGAAGGATCAATAACCAAACCACTGAGTAAAAGGAACAGTAATTCCACCCTTGGTGGGGAGCCGGTGCGTGCTTTGGGACACCCACACAATCCAGCGGCTCTCTAAAATCCCAAAGTAATGCGCAAGCTTGAAGCAGAGGAACACTCACCTTCCTAAGGAATCCCCAGGCACTGTGCACACTCAGCCCACAGATGTCCTAGGACGCCTGTGACCCTCCAGTCCTTCAGAGAGAGGTCTTCTTTTTGTTGTCTGGTGAAAAACTTTGCAATGCAACTCCATCTGAGCAGTGGACAGAAATCATACATGCATTTTAGAAATGTACCCAGGTCCCCAGGTAATTAATCCACATAATTCTCTACTCATTAGTAGGCCTTGCATCTGATGTCACGTACCTCTGTCCCTGCGGTGTTGACTTAGGGTGGGTGTGCATGTCAGTCTAGAAACACGTATGCATGTGTTCGTGGCCAGAGGCCTCCTGAAGTGAACAAGCCAGCCCTGGGCACTGATCCTTCACCACATGCCTGCCTCCCCATGAAACTGGAAACTCTGACCTCATGGGGCTGCTACAACAGACCAAGAACTTCCATTCTCATTGCCAGGACTCTGACCAAACCAGCTCTTACTAACTGCGAACGTCAAGTAATACTAAACACTTAGACTCCGCTGTCACAAGGGCAGTGTTTTGATGGGAACAGCGACCACTGAAAGAACGAGACCATGAGGCTAGGCCTGCCACCACCAGCACGACCCCCAAGGCAGAAGTGGCCCATCCTAATCTCAAGTAGCCCGGCGGCTTCCAGCCAGGCGCTTTTGCACGCTGAGACAAATGCCCCCAGCAGCACAGAAGAAAACCAGCAGGACTCACAATGAAACCCATTAAAACTGGGCCATGTTCTTCTCATCCAGAGACATTGCAGACCTGGACCCCATGGGATTCAATGTGACTCCTTCCTCCCCTGGCATCAAAACACTACCAATGACCCCGTAGAGCTCCTGTGCTTCAAACATGAAGACGGGAGGAAGAATTAAAGAGATGTACTTCCTCTGAACCAGGGGACGTGAACATTTCCAAGGAAGACCGCATGGCAGTGCGCTTGCGCCTACAGAGCCCACAGTCCCTAGAAGAAAATGGGAGAAACTGGTGCGAAGAAAACAGCACAGCAGGAGTTGACACATGGACCCAAGAAGCTCTCTGCCAAGGGGCAGAGGGACAAAGGGAATGTTGGCCAGGCAATTCAAATCAGGGATGACCGGGGGCTGTTGTGGGCCAGTGGACCTACTGAGTAAACATTACTAGGAATAACAACTGAGTCCTTATGCTCTGGGATAGGAATGGTCAAGTGAACAACGGTCAGAAACCATGGAGCCACACACAGCACCACTGAACTTCACCTGGCAGGCAGGGTGCATGCCCTCAAGACCCTGAGAGGTCCAGAAAGCCAATGACAATGACTTTGGTTGAAACAAATGAGACAGTACATCACAAATAAACCAACACTAGGACACATCCTCCACGTGACCTTCTGCACCTATTAAGGCCACCAGCCGTCACAGCGTCCTGATTCCAAGCTAAGTCCACAGAACTGACATGGTTGGCCACCTTGCATGTGAAATGGGTGACTAGTTGAAATACAGACGAGGCCAACTGTAGCACCATGGCCTGGTATTGCTTGGTCCCACCCCCAATCACAGGGTGGGCACTAGTGTCCTTAACCAGCCAAAATGCAAGAACAAGGCCTCTCTAATCAGAAACCATGGGAGAGACGGCTGCTCGGGTCCCACTTGAGACCTCTAAATCTACCTTTGAAGCAAAAACCTGGCCAGAACACATCCATGTCATTGTCCCAATGGGCCTGAGCCACACTACACCATTAGTTATAATTAAAATACATTTGTGGACAAGAGAAGATGACTAGCCACTTGCTCAAACACCACTGATCATAATCACCCAACAAATGACGTGGAAATACTGACAGTAAGTCAGGGGCTCTCTGAGGCTGATCCCCTGAGTGGTGCCTGCATGAGTGTGACCAAGGGGAGCTGTCCCTCACTCCTACTGTCCCTGGGGCACTAAAAGTGCTGGACCTCAGATCCGATGAGAACGACGGTAGGAGTTCTCACTCATTTTGTTCAGCTTCCAAGGAATGCTTTTGAGGGAGTCATCATCGATCCGAGCACATTCTGGGATGTAGAACATCTTCATGAGGCAGCGTGGATGGCTCACCCAGTGAGCCAATGACCCTCATGTCTTCCAGTGACCAGGAATATCCAGACCCAAGCCACTGAGCAAGAGGAACTGTCAGTCACTCTTGCAGAGAAACCCCATGTATCATAGGGGACCTATGGACAGGCTGCCTCTAGTACATCTAAAATATTCAATAAAATTTAGGGCAGAGGGATGCTTACCTTCCTGAGCAATCCACAGGCAGGGTGCACACACTTCTAATAGGGCCGCTACACACCTCTGGTCGTCAATAATAAGGAGTGTCGTCTCTTCATGGTTGAAAGTGAGCTTTGCACGGTCGCTCCACCTGGGAAGTGTAGGAAAAACACGTGCAAACTTGAGAAATGTATCCAGGTTCTCAGGTAACAATACCCTGAGTGGTGCTTGCATAAGTGTAATCCAGGGGAGCTGTCCCTCACTCCTATGGTGCCTGGGGACTAAACGTGCTGGACCTCAGATCCGATGAGAACGACGGTTGGAGTTCTCACTCATTTTGTTCAGCTTTTCCAAGGAATGCTTACATGAGGGAGAGTCATCATCGATCCGAGCACGTTCTGGTAAGCTGGAAAATTCAGCAAGGCAGGCTGGACAGCTCAATGGGTAAGAGAATGACTCAGAGTCCTACAGAAGCCTGGAGCATCCAGATCCAACCACTGAACAAGAGGAACCCTTCGGTCCACTCTTGAAGGAAACCTCATGTGCATTCCAGGTCATGCAAACAAGCACCTCTAGAAGCTCCAAATATCCGAAAGCTAATAGATGGACTTGGGGCAGAGCAAGGCTTACCTTCTTGAGTGACACACAGACATGGTGGATACTCAGGGCCACACATCTCCTGGGAGTCCGGTGAACCTCAGGTCATCCAGAAAACGAAAGGTGTTGTTTTCTGGGCTGAAGACAAACCTTGCAGGGCACCTTTACCTGAGAAGTAGACACAAATATAGGTGCATTTGAGTAATGTACTCAGGTCCTCAGGTAATTAATCCATGTCATCCGTCCCCCCTTCACAGGCCCTGCATCTGACTGTCACCTAGTCTGTCCCCGAGGTATGACTGCATGAGGGTTTGGCATGATGCGTGTAGGTCAGTCAGAAAATATGGATGCCTGTGTTCGTAGGGAGAAGCCTCCGCTACTGAAATAGCAAGACGCGTGCAGAGATCACTGACCAAACAGCCTGCATTCCCGAAAGACGACCTTTTTCTTAAAAAAGAAAGTGAAGAAAACTTTGACCTCGTAGGGCTAGTGAAAGAGGCTAAAGACTCCCTCTTTCAAAGCCATTCCTCTAGGAACACATAAAGCAGTGCGACCCTAATACACACTCTCTGACCATGGCCACGACTGGCAGCACCAACGTCTGGTTCCCCCAGACGGTCATGAACGAACCACCTTTCATGGAAATACAATGACCACCGAAACCAAGAGATCACTTACACATGGCCTGCCACCATTATCATGCGACCTAGAGGGCAAAAGGGCCCTGTCCTCCACTCAAAGGGCCAAGTGACCATCAGACCTGGCACCTGTTTGTGCTAACAAAGCCAAATGTCCCCAGTGGGACAAAATAAAACCTAAGGAACATGTCTGGTCTTCATCCACCACGATTCAAACAAAACCCCATGTTAAACTAGGCTACACTCTCATCCAGAGACATTGCAAACCTTGACCCTATGCAATTCCAAGGGACCTCTTTCCTCCCCTGGCACGGAAAACACTACTAGTGACCAACTAGAGCTCCTGCGCTTCAAACACAAACAGGAGGAAGGATGAAATACGATACTTCCTCTAAACAAAGGCACGTGAACATGTGTAAGACGGAAACACATCCTGGCAGTCTCTGCCCTGCCCACATGCGTCCACTGGTAAGACACAATCCCTCCGTAGAAAATGGGATGCACAGATTCCAATAAAAGCGATGAAGTAGCACTGACCTGGGAAGCCCTCTGCCAATGGGCAAAGGAGAAAGAGAATGTTGGTCAAGCCATTAAAATTAGGGATGGCCAGCAGCAGTCACAGGCATTGATGTCTTCAGTGGTGCTAAAAAATAAATCCACTGAGTCCTGGCCGGTTTGGCTCAGCAGTGAGAGCGGCGGCCTGCAGTCCGGAGAGACCCGGGTTCAGTTCCCGCTAAGGGCATGTACCTCGGTTGCAGTTTGTGCCCGGCCCTGGTTGGGTCATGTGGGTGGCAACCATTTGATGGGTCCCTTTCACATCAATGTTTCTCTCTCTCTCCCTTTCACTCTATATGAACAAAATATCAAAAAAATGTCCTTAGGTGAGGACTAAAAAAATAAAAAATAAAAAAAAAATTAGTCCACTGAGCATCACTACTCTGGACAGGAAACAAGTGAACGTAGGTAAGAAACCACTGTGCTATACACAAGAACACAAGCCACCCTGAAATCCAGTGACGAAAGGGTCCGAAGAAACACATGGAGATGGTACATCCCATCCCAGGGCAGCCCACAGAACCTAGTAAGATGTGTTCTCATAATGACCTTCGGTTCCTCTCCAGGCCACCTGCCAACACAGCTTCTTAATGTCAGACCTGCGTCCACAGCAGAGTCCATGGCTGACTACCTTGGATATAGATTGGTCGAGTAGTTAAAACAGAGGAGCTTCCAACAGCAGCACCACGGCCGAATGTTCCCTCTATCCCCACCCCCAATCCCATGTTGGGCACTAATGTCCTCACTTCCCAAAAGGCAAGAACAGGTTCACAATGTGCTGGGCCTGGGTCTGTTATCAGAAACCATGTTCTACTTCAGCTCTACATACGCAAACCCGAAGGGCTATGTCCGAGGCAGGATCCAAGCAAGGACACGTTGATGGCATGGGCCCACAGTCCTGCAATCCAACCATTAGGACTATAACATGAGCCAGCTGACGAGACAGAGCCTGCCATTCACCCAAACACCATCGATCATAAACACCCAACTAATGCAATGACAGCACGTCTAGAGGCGCTCTGAGGCTGACATCGAGGGAGGTGCTGGCATGATTGTGACCAAGGGGAGCTGTCCCTCACTCCTGCCTTCCCTGGGCTCTAAACGTGCTGGACCTCAGATCCGATGAGAACGACGGTTGGAGTTCTCACTCATTTTGTTCAGCTTTTCCAAGGAATGCTTATATGAGGGAGACTCATCATCGATCCGAGCACGTTCTGGAAGCAAGACATCGAGGAGAGGCAGCCTGGGCAGCTCAACTAGTGAGCCAGTGACCTCAGTGGCCTCCAGTGGCCAGAAATGCACAGATCCCTGCCACAGCGAGAGGGACTGGCAGGCCTCTCGAAGCTCAACCCATAGGCCACTGTGGACACATGAACAGGCTGCCTGTACCAGGTCTACAAACCCCTCGTCCAATGGAAGAACACAGGAGATAGGAATGCTCACCTTCCCGAGCATGGAACACCCAGGCACACACATGGTCCAGGACTCCGACACAGCTACAGGCATCAAAGGACAAAGCGGTGGCCCCATCACAGCTGACCATGATCGTGCACGCACACTCCACCTGGAAGTGTAGCAGAATCCCACGCAAATTTTAGAAACATACCTGGATTCTAGGGAACATGATAAAATCCGTTGCCAACCATGCCACCGGGGGGGGTAAGCCTTGCACCTGTCTATCATGTTCCTCTATCCCTTAGGTGTGGCATCAGGTGTGTGTGATACCCTGAGGGTGTGCAGGTGTGCGCGGGTGGCCCTGTGCAGAGGACTCAGCAACTGGACAAGCACACCATGGCCATATCCCAGCACCATCATGCTTTGCTTCCCAACAACAGAAGACAGGGTCTTCAAACCAAAGAATGCAAGTCTGACGTCAGAGTCTTCCAAGATAATTTACAGACTCCTCCTCCCACAGCCGGTCTTCCTGGCCAATCATGCCGACTATACGTACACCCTCTTTCTGACTGTGACTGTGACATCAGCTTGGACACTGCATGTATGCTGAAGCTGTCACAGGTAAACCACACGTGACAGAAATCAGTGATCACTGGAACACGAAGCCATGCACATGGAGGTGGCCCCAGTGGCACTCTGGCAGAACTAGCCTGTCTTAACCATAAGTGAGCAAAGGAGTTCAGGTCAGGAGAAGCGCTGTAATAACTAAGCTGAACTGTCCTCATGGGCAGCAGGTAACCAGACAGAAATGGCTCCTCTTCTACCACCATGACCGAGGGTAACACCGCATTGGACCAGGGCACATCCCCCTTCTGGGACCTGGCGTTTCCTCACCCAGGAAGATTTAAGGCCTGACCTTTGTGGAAATGTTACAACACTCGGATGCCTTGGCCTGAGGAGCATCCTCATGCCTGTGATGAGCATAGCCACATAAAATTTGGATTTTGCATGAGCCAACGACCTGGGATTCAACACGTGACCCCACCCTCGGCTAATAATTCCACAGAAGACCTCACAAAGCTCAAATGTTTCATTCTGAAGTACTAGAGCTGAAATAAAAAATCTTCCACATTAAAATTTACTTTCTTTATTGATTTTAGAGAGAGAGGAAGGAATAGACAGATGAAAACATCAATGAGAGAACACTGACTGGCCGCCTCCTGCACACTCCCCACTGGGGATGGGGCCCACACCTGGGCATGTGCCCTGCCCATATATCAAACTGGTGACGTCTTGGTGCAGGTCGATGCCCAGCCACAGAGCCACCCCGACCGGGCCAGGTCTCCCACACCAGGCCTCTCCAAGGGGCCGGCCGGTGCACAGCAGGGCACTGAGACCCCAGCACACAGCACCTCTGCAGAGCTCACAGGCTTCCACAAAAATCACAACTGTGGGAAAAGGTGTGAGAGAACCTGTGTCAGGAAAGTCGGCCCACCCTGGAGAAACACTTTGACCTTAAAACCTCGGGGCTCAGGACCTAAGCAGTCTGATGCAGTGCAGGCAGGACCTCCAGAAGGCACCCAAAACAGAACCAGTGAGCAACACTCTGAAACGGAGAGGACTGGAGAACAACTTCACCCACCGCAGCACATGGACGAAGGCCCTGAGCCTCCCTGGGAGACAGCAATCGGAAGCCCCATCAGGGCCACAAAAAAGTCCTGGGAATCCAATGACCACAGCTGGAGCAAGGACTGTCTGTCCTGTGGAAACACACTCAGACCTGTCCTTTCCGGGACAGTCCCTTCCCACCCAGGCCAGTCACTGCCGCAAATTCACCTCGGTGCTAGGACCACAGCAACGTCCATTTCTGCACCATGTTTATGGGCTGCACAGGTCTACGACAAATAGAAGCTTCCGACAGCAGCACCAACATCTAATCATCCACAACTTACCCAATACCT